ATTTCTCCAGAGACCAATGCTTAATTGCAAAAGTACATCGCTGTTTTGAATAATCTGAAAGAGCCATGTTTTCCCTCTAGGTTTCAGGACTGTCCGTAAGTGGCGGGACTTTAATGAATAACAAACTAGCAGCACCCACAGACATATAAATAAAATATGCTTACTGAAGTATTCTCAAGCCTGAATTCCTAATAGCAAATACGATTTTACCAGTGTTTCATTCAGTCCATTTTAAAAGTTAAATAAAAACGAAACATTAACTGGTGTGTTTTGTAGTGATGGCCAAATGAAGCATCATGAACCATTTGTTGTATTTTCTGACTCCACTAGATGGTGCTCTCTGTTAAAAAAAGGACACAAAGCAAACCAAGAGCGCCATCTAGTGGGGTCAAAAAATACAGCAAATGGTTCATGATGCTTCATTTGGCTATCATTAGTGTTTTGAAAGCATTGTTGCCAGATTAGATCAGAAAGTTTTGCTTGTGCAAAGAGGAACATAAATATGAACAGGTTATTTTGTCATTAGAATAGTGTTAACCCATAGGCTGTATTACATTGCAGTTAACATGATTCCACTTCAGAAACAAGTGATGTGTCGGTGAAAAACAAAGATTCCAAGTGACACTCCGGAGCATTGCTTCAAAACAGCATCCAGGAACCCATGCATACTTTTAAGTATGATACAGTAAGTAATTGTGTGCATTTTGAACAGTTTTTGGGCTGGAAACTGTCAACTGTATCCAGCAACACTATTTGAAAGTGTTTAGAGAAGCCTCGTTTTAGGCACAGGATTTGCAAGTCTGTGACAGGCCAACTTAAGGGTTTTCAAAAGGACAAGGAGGTGCTGCAAGAATGTAATGAACATAGCAATCGTTTCATAATTCTGCCTGATTTTGCAGGTTTACGGAAGTTAATGGCAAGTTAAAAAGAAGAAGGAACTCCAATATGGGAAATTATAATCCCAGGTTCCAAAAGTGTTATGGGGGACTTAAAAGAGCAACCTCATGTGATAGCTTCAGATTTACACCTAGTGATTCTAGGACGTATCTCCTAGCATACTCCTGTGTGTGTGTGTGTGTGTGTGTGTGAGAGAGAGAGAGAGAGAGAGAGAGAGAGAGAGAGAGAGAGAGAGAGAGAGAGAGATTTATATTACATTGTGGGGTCCAAATGTCCCTCACAATATAATAAAAACCTGTTTTTTTTTTTTACATTTTGGGCACCATTTTTCAGGTCCCCACTAAGGTCTGTGAATGCAATCAAAAAAGTGAAAATGCCAAAAGTCTCCTATTTTGTTTAGTTACTTATGGTTAAGGTTAGAGCTGGGTCGGGGCTAAAGTAGTCATGTTGGGATTAGAGTTTTCTCCATAAAAATGAATGGAGAGTCCCCGCAAAGGTATAACTAAAAACCTGTGTGTGTGTGTGTGTGTGTGTGTGTCTGTGTGTGTATTTTCAGAAAATGGTGTCTGTAGTGCCAGACTTTATTTTGAGGGACATCTGTTCATGAATACTAGCTGGCCTGCTTATGCTAACGCGCATGGATTGCAAAGCCGCACTTTCCAGATACTAATTGCGATGCTAATGCACTTTTAGTTCTCTGAGCAAATGCTTCCCTTAAAAACCAGCCTTGTTCAGTTGTTCAATAAATGCATGGCTTAATAATGAAAAAATTGAAATTAAAAAACCACTGAACTATTCTGTAGAATGTTTATGTAAGAGTCACAGTATTTAAATGTCAGACATTTCTTAGACATTAATATTCAGGACCAATGGCTTCAAGCCTATGATACTTGAAGGGCGGAGTGTACAATATTGGTTGTCTTGAGTCATTGTCGACTTTATGTTTTAAGACCTTTAAGAATTGTTGAGGTTGCAATGAATTCAACCTGTTTATGGTGAAGGTGTGTTATTCAATGACAGCGAAGGTCTTTCAAAACTCAAGACAGAAGCTAAGTAAAGATTACATGAATGATTAAACTTAAGTTTCTGTGCGTTTGTATAGTCCTGAGTAATAGAAATATTACAGATGGTAAAGAGGGTGTTTTCCCCAAATGCACGACCCTTTACAAGCCAGTACTTCTACACATCAGCCAGAACACTGAGAGCTTGAGCGTGGCTAATTTCACTCAGGTAGAATCACCATTCACCAGAGCATGCTGAGTAACTGGGCTTTAAATCACGTTTGTTCTGAAGTAGGAGGTTTTGCACTGGTTTATCGGCTCTGACAGGTAAATGTACAATAATGGTACCATTCAATCATGATTTCACAGGCTTTAACTGTGCAGCTTTATTTAGCTGGAAATATGTGGCTTCCAAGGGTCAGAAGTAAAATGTATATTGACTGTCTAGTGAGTTGAATAGCTGTTGAACAGAATAGTGAATTTCGACTTGACATTCAGCACGTCAGGGAAAGCACTTCATGCCACTGGCATTCAAATAGCATTTATCAAAGGAGGAAAATAGCACCAAGCTGAATATTTCATAGTTCAAATTCCAAGGGCCATCTGCTTTTTAACACCTTTGCCTCTTTATCCTGTCAATCTCCAGCCATCCAAAGCCAAAATGGAATTCAAATAGGCAAGGCTTTGTAGTGCCACCTACTGGCCGAACTTGTAGGCAGCAAATTGACCCATGTTCCGCTATCAAAGTCGTAACTCCAACAACTAACAGGCTAGCTATCAAGTTTTGTAGAAAATACTGTGGAAATGTTTTGATACTTGAGTTTACTGTGCCCTTTAAATATTTAATCAAATCAGTAAATCTGTATATGTGACAAATGTATTAATAGTGCAGTTGTCTGACATACGGCTGAAAATTTTTTAGAGATGACCAAGAAACATAGCTATCATTTAATTCACTCAGGCAGACGTATCAGACTGCCAGTAAGACAATGGTCACCTGTTTTTGTTTACTGACACGAAAAATATTGGAAACCAGAAGCACACACAAGGAAAAAATACTTAGGAAAAATCAAAACACTTCAATTGCTTTCATGCTGGGTGTTCCTGGCTTGAGAAATAGGATAACACAGAATTCTTTTAAAATCTTTCTTCATGGAAGTCACAACATCTTTTCAGGTCGATGCACATTGTAAAGACGGTAATTCTTTTAAGGAAACTAAATCCGCATCTTTAATCCCCGCTGGCTTGGAGCAGAGACGGTGCTAACTCACCAGTGAAGGACTAACAGTTTGCACAGCTGGTGCCTGGGGACAACTGAAAAAAAGAAACGGCTGCCCTTTTTGTTTCATAAAGATCTTGCCGCACAGTCTGGCGATTTGGGAGGATGGGGGAGTTTTCCTAGTTGTTTACACAGATCCTCTCCAAACTACCATCTCTTGTGTTTCCCAGTTTGCCTCTGGAATTAATTTCCCGCTCGTGCGACTTCTGGATAACCAACCTGATCCTCAATAAAAGATTTGGTTTTGGGGGATTCTGTGGCCGATAACCTTAGGTGAGGCCGATAAGCATTTCATCACAGAGTTGAGCTGAGCTCTGAAAAACACCCTCTCTTCAAGCCACGACTCTTATGCTTCAATGTTAGGCGGAAAATTTTTATGCAAAATACGGCATATATTTTCATTTATCCCTGCATCCATTTTCAAAATCTCTTATCCTGTTGCAGGTCACAGTGTGAAGTATTTTTATAGGCATGTAATGAAAATGTAGTATGATTTTTACAGGTGAGAAAACCACCTACGTTTCATTTGCAGCACCCCCCACCCCGAAAAAGATCACCCACAGCCCCAAACCCAGTCCCCCCACATGCCTTGATCAGCATAGCAAAGGAGATGGTGAAAGGCGAGGTGCGGCTAGAGATGAATACGGTTGGATGAATGCTTAAAGGCCAGAAGGACTCGGACTCACCGACAAGGTGAAACATCAGAGGCCTGAGAAATTCCTTAGAGCATAACGAGAAGGTACAGTTAACTGAAATATGTCCGAGCACATCCATTTCATTTTTAAATGGAGAAAAATAATACACGCACGCAGACACACACACACACACACACACACATATATCTATATATCTATATCTATATCTATCTATATATATATATATATATATATATATATATATATATATATATATATATATACACACACACATATATACGCGCACACATATATAATAATAATAATAATAATAATAATAATAATCGATACACACACACATTGAACGCTTTTGATCACAGGTACACATTTGCAGCCAGGTGGTCATTCCCAGTGGTCGCAAATGGGAATGAATGAACTTGAAACTAATTTAACGCTTTTTACAAATAGTGTCACCTAACAGAGTATCGCTTAACCGAATGCTGCGGGGAGCAACAAGGCAGCCTTAACGAAGGGAAGATGCCAGACGTAAAAACCAATTACCCATGAGAAACGGGCAAACAAGCCCCCCATCCATTATACAGGCACGTTGTTTAGCCTTCATTTTCCCAGAAGTCATGATATTGGAGACATAATGAATCTCATCAAAGGTATTATTTATGTCGTTAGCAGGGTTTTATGTAACTGTTACCCTGCTTCATTAGCTATTAATCCAGAAGTAGTTACATGGTCGTTGTGTAAAATAGAATCCATTAAGTGCAATGAGCACCCACAGTCTTTGGCATTAATCACATTTAATATTATTTATTTTTCAGTAATATGAGGGTTATATGTGCATAAAACCGCCCCTCATATTTAGTGTATCTGGTAGTAGATGCATAGTGTAAAGTATAGTCAGGGTTTATTTTGAGAAAGAAGAGAGACTACGAGGTGTTGGCAGTGGATGGAAGCACCATCCTGTCACAGAGGGCGTTCTGCTGCACATCTAACAAGCTCCACAGGGGGCATAGCCGGTTAAATGCCCTCAGACTGCGGGCAAAAGGCAGAGTCAGCCATCCATTGTACCCAGAGGCCATTACACGCATCAAGCCTTTGTCTGGCTATCAGAACCATGTTGAACTTGGTTTGTGCTACCATTTGTGCTGCAGAGAGCATAAGTGAGCGGTAAGGTGCTTTTATTTTAGGTTAAGCAGCAGTGGTTGTGAAATTATGGTCCAGGGAGCTGTTTCAGGACCCGGAGAGGGTCCTTGGTGTATTTAAGTACAAAACATCCAGTGTTCCAGTAAAACATTGTATAAGTGGACAATATGTGACACGGCTACTTGAGAGGCTTTTCATAGTATAGGCTAAGCAGATTAAATCACATTTTTTGGGTCTGAGCAGATTTTGGGAACAATCGTGGACTCCTTTGCAAGCTTGAGGATTCATCGGCACGAGCTGAAAGGTGCAGCCGAGTGCACGTTTTCTGAAGCGCCGGGCAACCCTGTCCAGCTTCAGCCCGGTCCAGCTTCAGCGTCTCTCTCTCTCAAACGTGCCATTCAGAATTAGGCTACGAGCGAGGAGGAAGCGCGACACCCTTAAGCCTGATTTAGCAGCCGATGCTCCACATTTCTGCTTCACAATCCCAAAGTGGGTTTATAATACAGTTGCACTGAAAGTTTGTAGGTTATAGGGTGTAAATGAAACGGCGTTACTCCGGAGTAAGAGCAGAGTGAAGGAGGGCGGAGAGGCAGGGAGACAAAACACAACCTGGGCATTGTGCTCTCAAACTACGCCCCTTCCCAAACCAACACATTCGAACAGGAAAATGACAAGGATAAAATCATTTTGGGCTACGGAACATGCAGGTGGCAATTAAAACATCTTAAGACCTGCTGCTTGGAACTTTATTATTTCTATTTCGCAGCGATCTTCAGGTTAAGTCTCAGAGACGGAAGAAAAGTCATGCCGTTTCTGTTTCGGTCACTGGGTTTCGGGGTTGTAGCGTTGCTGGCACTGTTTTTTATTTTCGCAGATTTTTCTGAATTTAAAGAAGAAACCGGGTGAGTACAGCCTTATCCGCCGCTGCGAGAGCCGCTTTTCCGCTTTGGGTTTGGGGATGTTTCCCAGGACTTCGCATGGAGAGGTTCTCTGCCAGTGTTGTAATTTATTGTTTGGCTGCCATTGCGATAACCTCTGTCCAGAGGATTAAAATGCTTGCCAGACATCCAAGAGTGCTGATGTTTCAGCCGCTTTGCTGAAGGAGTTTAATTTGCCCAAAGGTTTCTTTGTACCGGCAGCAAACCTGCATATGATGCATCCCATTCAATCAGGCATTTCTTAGTTGATCTCCTATTGCATTTTATCCCCTCTACGAGTCAGTCCCTCCAAACGCTACTTTACGCTTCTTTAGTAACAATGTGGCGTTTCTCGTGTTGCTTTAATTGTTAGTTTGTTTCATCAATTATCCAGTTACTTGATATCGCTGGGAATCATAAAGGCGAGGTCGTGTGCCTTGTTTTTTAGTTACATTAATCTGTTAATTGTAATATTTTTATATTAATCGCCAGTACTGACTGTTTGATGTCTGTTTGATGACACCTGATTGGTGGTAACCTGGTGGCTATTATACTGGACATTTCAGCCGTTACCAGAGTGCCTTCGGGCAGGGACACTCCGTATTTTCTCCTCTACTATTCTGGAAGTCTAATCTCAAACGAAACCAGTTCATATGTACAAAAAGTTTCACACAGCTTTACTGGTTAAAACTGGAGATCTCACTCAGGATTACAGCTCTACAGAGAACCCCGTTACTCCGTGGCGCTTTGTAATCAGCGAGGCAGAAAAAAACACAATTTTCTTATGTTTATAGCCACAAATTAAGTTTAACTAACATCATCATGTTTATACTTGGGCAGAGTGGCTGTGATTAGGCGATGCTTTTATTAAGAGGCTTTTAAATATCAATAAAAGGTTTATAGCTATCAAATGGGGACCTAAGTATTATCTTAAAGCCACTTAACAACAGCTACTGTTTCAGGCACTCCCTTTTTCCAGTTCACTCTGATTTGCAGTACAGCGTGACGCAGTTAATATGTATGGAGTCGTTAACGTGTATACACTCGGCAGGCATACACTTCGTCATACAGAGCCTCACACTGTTTGCTTAGTCCTTCAGACCAAAGCAGCCTTTAAGTGAATATCAGCCAGTGTGTCCTGAAGTTACTCTGACTGCCAGTACGTCTCGTTTGCTCAAAGGATTGCAGAAGGCTCTTTGGTCGATGCGACGGATAATAGATGGATGTTTGATTAGTCAGTGGAAGGCAAAATAATAACTAACAGTGATGATGACGATAATTGATGATTATTAATAATTAATTCATTGGTTGGTTGATTAATATTAAGCATGGGGGTTGCTCTCCCGTTTGCAACCGTCAAGGGTTCGAGGAGGTTCAGTAGGGTATTCTCTAAAAAAAAAAAAGAAGAAGAAGAAAAGAAATCCTGTAAATGTCAAAGAAAATTCTTTGTGTCAGTGATGCAGAAACACAACACAGGTTTGAAAAATGATGGTGTAAGGCTGGAGACAAATGTAAAACAGCCTTAACCAAACAAACTCAATATTTAATTTGTCTTGAAGTAAAGATTAATTTTAGTACATTAAAGATTATTACTGTTACTGTAAAATTTGTCATTTAAATGCCTAGTGTCAGTGTTGACTGAGTATTGGCTGTAATAACCCTTTGTATTTTCTAGGGTCTCCTCTTATCCCAGGCAAACTGCCTACAAACATTTATTAATTAGTGCCACATCATTAGCTTATAGGTTTAACATATTTCTGTGGTTTCATTACATTAGGTTCCTGTATGATTCTTCTAACACTCTGGATCAGAGCCGTGGTTCTTAAAATGTGTGTCTTGAGAATCATTGGGGGTGGAGGTGGGGGGAGTGGATTCCATTATCAGCGCCCTAAAAAGTCATCGTGATTACAGTATGTTTCCCGCTCATTGCGCTAGTGTGCTGTTTACATTGAATAGGACTCCATGACAGGCAGAGTGATGGCTCTGAGGCTGGTTTCAATCCTGTGAATCCCAGGAGTGATCCTACTCCATTGGGCCCTTGAGCAAGGCCTTTAACCTGCAATTGCTTCGTCATGGGTATGACATTAATCTGCATCCAGCCTCTGACTTACAGGGAAATTTGGGGGTTGGTGGGAGGATTGGCACTCCAGCCACCAGATAAAAAACCTCTCTCTGGTCTAGGTATCACCTGCCGCACGGCTGCACCCGGGCTCTCATCCCTGAGGTGGTTTGTGGTGTGGGGGGTGCAGCTATGCGCTGTCAGCACATGCTCCTTATGACATTATTGGGATAGTGGTGTCTTACTGTCTTAGGGTGTAATAGAATGCATTGAGTGTGCGTTCTTAGCTCATATACTGAAGTGAATCAAAATGGACTTTTTATGTAACATGGTATTCCAATGTTTTTTATAGTCTATGTTAAAAATCCATTGTACATGTGAAACAACCTAAAGTAATGACTTTAATGGCATGTAGTTTAATGTTGTTTTTCCCCTGGTTTTGGTTCAGGAATCTTGGAGGTACAAGGAAACTTCAAACATTGCTTCTGAAGTCCAACAGGTCCGTTGCCTCTGTTCCTGCTCCTGACTTGCTCCTTTTTGATTGTGGTGTGCAGTGTACTTGTGCACAATGGATTAAAACTTAACCAAAGCCTTGAATTACATGCTGAACTCTTAAGTGTCCATTCATGAACTCAGACATCATTGCATGACTCAACTCACTTTACGTCCTGGCTTCTCATTAAACATACTTTTGACTCTTGATGGGTGGGGGAAAAATCCCCAATAAAGACTCATTATGTTCCTAGTTTCCATAGAAACAACATGGGTACACCATATGTTTAAAAAAACATGGTCTCAAATTATTATTTAATTAGGTAGTCCATCAAAACCTTGTTGTTCTTTTATAAAATAAAAAAGGTCACATTTATGAAGCAAATAGGTTTCTTGGTATATTATGTGTTTATGCATATGTTCCATAACTCCACAGCACGTTGTGGTGCTCCAAACAGTGGAACGGTGACCAAAGTACAGTCTGAATTAATGTTGTGGGTGAAACTTACCTGCAGAAAAGAAGCCAACCCAATCTCAGAAATCCTAGCAAAAAATAATTTATTTTCTGTGGAGATATTTTCTTCTTTAATTAATACACTGTTGGTTGCAATACAAATTTTAAAATGCAATAACCCCATTTAATGAAATTCAATTAGCCATTATTTTCTGGTAAAAATCTACTTCATACACAAATAACTGATGCCCATAAATGGGCTCCAGCTCTGCAGATCCGTAGGACGTTTCTCACTCATCCTCTGATCTCTTTGGAGCTTCCCAGGGTCCCGATGGATTCTCTAATGATCATTTAACCCTAATTAAAGACTTCAAGGAAGTAACTGCATAAACTTTGCGGTGAGATGGATGAATACTTGTGTTTTTCTCATAAAGCTTGAGGGAAATTTTAAATCAGAAGGAATTGCAGATTAGCTGATCTATATGAACAGGAATGATTAGAAAACGCTGGAAATTAGAAATAAAATGGTCTTAGTGAACTACTAAAGAAAGTGTGGTGAATTATGCGCTGCTGCCTGTCTTCTATTGGCACAGATGCACAGCGTTGGCTAACCTGTTATATTGTATATGATGAGAGTCTGACTCTGACAATCTCCAAATTCTGCCTTTTGGTTTGTTTCACCTACAGGAACATCTGAGAATTGACTTAGCTCAGGCCCCCAGGTCACGCCCATCTATTACACTCGCATCTCGAAAAGGGCCTTTTTTTGACTTTGGGGTCATTGCAGAAAGTCCAGTTCCTCCAGCATTTTATGGGTCGTGGCTTTAAAAGCCGCCTGTCCCAGACGGAGAGTGACGGCTCTCCTCGACCTGGAACTCCATCTCAGTTTGAAGAGTTGCTATTATTTGAAGCAACAACATCCTGATTCTCATCAAAGTGTCTTTTTTTTTCTTTTTGACCTGACTGGCTTCACTGGTGCTTTTTTCCAGTTCAAGTATCACATACTGGGTTCGTCCTGTTTAGCTATGACTGGATTTGTGTCTGTGTTGAAAAGGAACAGAGCATCACTGGCTCTCGCATGCAGAAAGGCCTTTCTTCACTTGTTCAGAGGGTCACTGCCTTAAAAAATAATCTGTGTTTTTGGTGTCATCAGGGAGGGTTCTGTCTGATCTGAGGTTCTGGTTGAACATTCCATGTTGCTTCTTTAAGTATGTATGAAGGGTCTCTGTACTTGTATTTGGTTGTTCCCTAATCCCACCACCACTGGGAAATTGCCTGGGAAGATCTTGATTAACTCACTTGCAATATGTTTTGTTTAGATTACCAATGATTAAGCAGGCTTACAGTGTGTTGTGCAAATATACCAGCTTATATACCAGCATCATTCAGTTGTCTGCATTGCTTCTTGATATAACTGGGCAAACTCTGAGGCTTGTTACCAGGAAAGTGCATTTTACACTTTGACATCCCTAACTACACATTCCCAGGGACAACCTTGCACAACAAAAGCCCTATTAGTGATAGATCTGATGCTTGATTAGATTATTGTAATCTTTTAAACATCATGCTGCCCTTCAAAAAGTTGTTGCAAATTGTCAGTCATTAGCTCAATGCAGCCAAGCTACCAGAAATTGTAACACAGAGTATTCAGAATATATGCAGTGTTGCTTAATGATTTGCCATCACTTGTATATATTTTTTTTTCTGGAATGTCTGAAAAATGCTCCATATCAGTGTTTCCAGGTTCCCTTGGCAACATACTTCACCTGACCCTTCTGATCTTCTGCTCACTGGGTTAGCCATCATCATAATCAATCACCATCAGCAATATCAGTCATCCAACATTTTTTTTTAGTTCTACACTGTTCCATGATGTTCAGGATAAAATGGATATAGACAAAAACAGTGATTGCCCATTAAAAATCAGTGTGTTGCATGAAGATGAGTACAATGGACCATTGAGACCCAAACTCCATCTGATCTATTAAAATAGTATAATGTTATCTGCTCATGTGTTTGGTTTTCTATACATCTCTGCCTGGTCCTGTACCTCATTAACATGACTCTATCATCTCGGGGTGAATGGGGTCCCTCTGTCTCACGTGGAATCAGTGATGTTAATAAGACTTTCCTCGCATTGCACGTTTTCCACAGCAGCTCTAGTGATTTATTAGTATGATCATTCCCAGACCTTAAGAGGTCACATGGTCCACCACCATTTGGGCATCGTTGGCTTTCACTCCTGTTTTTACAGGCAGATCTCAGGGTCTGTAGCCTTTCATTACTTACCATTAACAGGATATAATCCCAGAGGGCACTTAAGGCCATTAATGTGGGCTCTGGTGGGTGATAAAAATCCACCCCACATCCCCCTACTGACCATCCCAACTTCAGTAAATTAGGCAAAGACGTTTGAAAGGGAAGTTGCAGTTGCATAACCACAAACCCATTATGATTATGATGATTGTACTGAAAGGTCTTTGTTCAAACAAGCTGTTCTTGTACTACCCCTTCTGCTGTGTGTAGTTTCTTCAGGCAAGAGCCAGTAAGTCATAAGCTCTTCATGTGACCCTCAGTAGGTGAGGCAAACTCTCCCTGGAAATGTCTTTGTAAAAAGGACCTCAGCAAATCAGCCCGAAGTGTGTTTTGCGGTCCATGGGGGGACCAGGCTATCATCAAAAAGCATTTCACATTGTGAGTTGCCATAGTGACATCCTCCTAGTCACTTTGATTCTGATTTATGAGGGCCTTGATTGAAGAGTGTTTGTTGTGGAGAACACTGAGGTCTTTGATTGGTTATTTTAGCCTGTATTGGTTACTTTGATTAACTAGAGTGCCGTGAACCAAACAGTAAGTTATTTGGCTGCTTCAAACCACACTCTCAAGATAGGACTTTGATTTGAGTGTTATCAGTTACTGGCTTTTGTGGTGCTGTCAGCTGATCCTTCAGAACAGTGTGCCTGACACTTTTGACATTGGACGTAAAGTTTTTAAAGCAATTATTGTATGTCTGTAACTTTGAATATCTGAATATCCTTTAAACTACCAGTGATGGTACTTAAAGCTGACTGTAGAGGCACTGTTCATTACTGCTCTTTATAGCATTGTGATTCTTGGCAATAAACTGACAGCTCTTCTCCACATTTTGAAATCCAGAAACTTTGTTCCTGAGACAGTGCCCACTTCATCACTGAATGCTCTGGACCATAAGACACCCCAGTCCCCAAGCAGTGCTGTTCCAGTGGCCTCTGGCTGGCATTTCAACAAGACCCTCTCAAACCTGATAAGGTATGGTGTGTCACATGTTCTCTGTTATTCTTTCCAGTTTGATCTTTTTTTTTCTTTTTTGCAATTTTTTTGTTTTATTTTAAGGAAAAACATCTTGAAGTTCTTGGATGCCGAGAGGGACATCTCAATTCTGAAGGGCATTTTGAAACCCGGAGATGTCATCCATTACATCTTCGACCGTCACAGCACCATGAACGTCTCTGCCAGCCTGTACCAGCTCCTACCCACGGTGTCCCCCATGAAGAATCAGCACCACAAACGCTGTGCCATAGTGGGGAACTCGGGTATCCTGCTCAACAGCAGCTGTGGCCCAGAAATTGACTCTCATGATTTTGTCATCAGGTGAGCTGCTGAATTACTGGGACCACATGGTATCTCCAGCCTGGCTGGCCAATGCACAACAGGCTTTTATTCCAAAAAAAGGCTGGGGGGGGGGGGGGGGTGCACTATCAACCGCCCCTGTACGAGGCCTATTTACAGGCACCTCCCTTGCAAACAGACTCCCCCAATCAGACCGTGGTGTCTTGGTGCTGTTCCCTGCAGGTGTAACCTGGCCCCGGTGGAGGAATACGAGCATGATGTGGGTCTGCGCAGCAGCCTGGTCACCATGAACCCGTCGGTGGTTCAGCGTGCCTTCCGCGACCTGGCCAGCCAGCTGTGGCGGGATCACTTCCTGCAGCGGCTGCGCAGCATCGCCGGCGGGGTGCTGTGGATCCCGGCGTTCATGGCCAAGGGCGGCGAGGAGCGTGTCGAGCTGGCGGCTAGGCTCATCCTGCGACACAGCCTGGACGTGCGGCCTGCTTTCCCCTCACTGCGGCTGCTCGACGCCGTCAGAGGGTGAGCATGCTAGCGGCTGCCTGTGTCATCATCTGGAAGGGTCATGAGATATGAATCGTTCATAATGGTGACTCCACCCACTGCTGGTGTTCAAGTTGATAGTCACCCCACCCGCCACTGGCACTCAGCCTGACAGTGACCCCTCCTACCCATGGCACTCAGCCTGACAGTGACCCCTTCTGCCACTGGCACTCAGAATGACAGTGACCCCTCCTGCCACTGGCACTCAGAATGACAGTGACCCCTCCTGCCACTGGCACTCAGAATGACAGTGCCCCATCCCGCCACTGGCCACTGGCACTCAGACTGATCAAATTGATATCAGATTATTCCTTCACAGGGTGCTGTCCTCTCTGTCTTTATTAACCATTCTTTTCCTTCTTTGGCAGGTACTGGCTGACAAACAAGGTCCAAATTAAGAGGCCGACGACGGGTCTTCTGATGTACACCATGGCGACCCGGTTCTGTGATGAGATCCACCTGTACGGATTCTGGCCCTTCGCCCTTGGACCCCAGGGGAACCCGGTGAAGTACCATTACTATGACAGCCTGACGTACGAGTACACGTCGCAGGCCAGTCCTCACACCATGCCACTGGAGTTCAAGACTCTCAGGGCGCTGCACAGACAGGGGGCGCTCTGTCTTCACACTGAGGCCTGCAGCACGACAACGTGAGCTCCATGGCTGATCTTGTGACAAACCGGGACCTCTGTGAATTATTTACCCAGAGCGGCCTCCCGCCTGAGGCGCGGAAGGGTAAACTCAGGTGTTGTCTAAGGAAAATCCTGCAGTGAGCTGCCATAGCGAGTCACGCACAACAGCTCTTAAGCATTTTAGAGAGCCTGCATACATAACAGCATGGAGTAACCGTTTATTTATTACAAAAGAATGCACTCCCTGAATTCTCTCTCTCATTATGGATCAGTGACTGACCGTTTTCATACGCCTGGGACCAAACGGGTCGAGTTTTAAATGTCTCTGTTTGTGCTGAGTGTATTTCTGAGTGTCGTATTGCCATCATACAGACCCGCTGTGAGTTTCTCAGTGGAACGGGGAGGGCGTATATTTCTCACTTGTCCTTTTGGGTTATTTAAATGCAGAAATGTTTGTATTCTAGATGCCCTGCCCTGTTTGAACGCAGATTAAAGGGTAGATGTGTTTTAAGGAAAGTGGGTTTGCACACGGCCACCTCTGATCAGAAGGTAAACGGAGACGGAAGGGAGGGTGCAGGTTGGATCCTGGAGACGCCCAGTCATTTACACACTGGGCAGGTACAGCTACCTGGGCTTGACTAATAGCACCACACTGTTTGTTTTTAAGTGACTAACTCCTGCATACTGAGTGTCGCCTGTGTGTGAATGTGATTAGTGCATCTTCCTCCAGCTGTGCATTAAAATGAACAACATCACAGGTGTGGCATTGCAAACCCCCCCCACCCCCAAAAAGCACTGTTACGTCTGAATTTTAAGAGTCTTCTCTGATCATTTGTGGTTCTCAAACGCTGGTCTGTACAGGCTATACCTTCACCACTGGACTAAAATAAAAGTGTTTCCCTGCCCTACTCTAATCTGGGTAAGACACTATTCCACGTTCACCCTATAAAACACTTTTTTTTGGTATCACTCTACAGTTCCGCTAGTTTATTTTGAAGCAGAACTAGTTCATGTGCCTCTAAGTCACAATCTATGGCAACTGTGAGCCAATGTAACCAACTTCTGTGACCTCTTAAATGAAGCATGACAGCTTTAGCAAAAGAGGGGGGACATTTCTACCCAGCTCACCTGTGAGGGGGTGGGGGGATCTCATCAGCGATGTTGTATTGCATTTCTTTGGCACACTTCAACACCCATCGTATTTTATTTATGGGAATCTTAAAGCCTTAATCTGTATGATTAAAAATAAATTATACATAATTATGATGCTTGTTTGCACACCAGTGTTGAAATAGAAACACAGCCAAGCTTGAAGAATGCATCAAAGTTTGCTGCCCACATCCAGGACAGAGCTGCTCTTCAGCTCAAGGCCAAATAGATAAAGTGCGATTAGCTTTGAAAAAGGTCCTGTGCTACTCCAGGTAAACACAGCTGAGTAAATGTGCACAGGTGTCAGAAACCAGGAGCAGAGTGCTGCTCTCTTTTCTGCGAGGCAGTGCTACTGTAGCTGGTCCGGAGATGGTGCCTCCCCACACTGGTGTTTCTGGCCCCAGAGGCTCCCGGGCACTGGGGGAAATGAAGCAGCGACGGCACATTAGCACTAAGCGGTTTGATCTGACCTCCGGTAATCGCGCTAATGCTGCTCAGGCTTAACGTTATACGTGCAGAACATCACCAAATGCTGCCTCGGTCGCAGTATTACATGCATGCGTGCAGCAACTGCTGCCTCGTTAGCTAATGAAGCACGTTACCTTCGTCCTTTTTGCTAACAGGAGCCGGTACAGGTCACCGAAGGACGTGCTGTAAAACGATCGAGACCTGAACCACGTGCCATTTATACTGAAACTGTCAGTCGACAAACACGTACAGGGACAGAACAAGGTATTCCTCAGAAGCACAGATCTCAGTCCCACGAACCAGAGAAACGCCGGCAAGTGGCTCTGGAAGCAAACTGACAGTCGGCGTAGCAGCAGCACAGCAGAGATAAGAGGGCCGCTAACTCGAGTGCCAAACTAATTATACAGGGGATTAAGAACTTAGAGGCACAAGCAAAGTTATTCACTCCGTAAGCCCGACCCCGTCACTTATGGGATGAGTCTGCAGTGAAAAAAAACATTCTGACACAAAGTTAGTGTATGAAAGTTGATTTTTGCCTGTCTGGAGGAGGATTATTTAATTTTGGGTCTAAAAGCAATAAACGGCCAAAATGGCAAACTGACGCATCAACGAAACATTGGAAGAGTATTGAAATTTCAATCACATGTGGTGCAGAGGATACAGACCACTTTTTCCATTTCATTTTGCAGATGCTTTTTATCCAAAGCAACACTTTAGAAAGAAGGACCAGCTAATTCCTCAAGCAATTCGGGGTTTAGGTCCTTGCTCAGGCACCCAAAAGTGAAACCTCTCTACCAACCCTAGGATTTGAACTAGCAACCCTCTGATCACAGGCTGCATCCTAACCACACACCCAAAGGTATTTCTCAATGCCAAGAACATACTTGCGGTCTTGGCAAGGCCGGTCATGCTAACATGCCTCCTAAGAACCAACTTGGGACGCAATGACTCATAGGATTGGTCTTGTTTGGCGAGGATGCACCCGATGCATCCTTGATATATAGGGCAAGGCGAGAATGACATCTGGGGTTATTTACTGTCCTCTGTACTTCTGTTCTTAATATTGGAACTCATCCTCTGCAATGTAAGATCATGAAGAAATGGATACACAAGATCATAAGAATGGTGAAGTATGCATATTGAGAAACATCTCAAGACAGCAGTACTTATGTCACAGTGCAGAGTTGCACAGTTTATTAGCTTAATACTCTTACACCTACATTGCTGGAGCTACCATCTATACAATAAAAAGGCTGTATATATGTATGTTCTGTAGTCATACAATGTCGTTTCCCATGTTAGAGACAGGATTGCATACATTTCACCAGGCATAGGGGCCATGCAGGACATTTAAAATCAGACTAACTACAATTAGGATGCTAAACTCCTCTGTTCCAGTAAAGATCATGACATTGTGAATCAAAATGGCAGCTTTGCACATTGCAAACACTCAGTGTTTTGGTAAAAAATACTTTTAAGCTGACACAGGTGACAGCGGCGAATATTTACTAGAAAGAAGTTCCTGAATCTATGGTGCCCAAAACGGCAGTGGCATGGCTAGTTTCAACACAGGATCTCAGTAATATTACAGAATATCATACAGCTAGAAGGTCACAACAACTGAAGAATCAGTCTGGATTATGGAGTTCTAAAGGAAAATAAAACCACGATAACATTACATTCAAAATAAGAAGAAAATAAGAAGTATGGCTTCTGAAGATCATAGTTAATGATACACAAAGTGTTCTTGCCATAGGGAAACTTAAATCCCCTCTAAAACACTCTGGCGTAACAGTAACTGATTCATAGCATTAAGATAGAACTTCTGTTTCACACAACACACACGGAGCTAATGGGAAGTTTACTTACACAAAAATGTTCTGAGGGCAGAATGAAAAATAATTGGCTTGGAGATATAACCAATCAGATTGTAGACAAGGTGGGTTCAAGCGACTAAAGGAGGCAGGACCAACCAATCAGATGTCTTGGTCCTGCCTCCTCTAGTTGCTTGAGCATACCTCCTCCTAAAACGCCTACAAGCACACACTGATAGACCTACAAATGTGAAGTCCAGTAGATCACCCATATCAACAGCTCCAACACTGGAAGAACCGCATTATGTACGAAAGAAAATATAATGATTCTTCTGAAGATCAGAGAGATGTCTCCAGTAGCCTAGTGGTTAAGATTAGAATGAGAGGGAAAGGAGCAAGTAAACTGAAGAAACTGATTGTCCTTTTTTTTTTTTAACAATCCCTGCAGAAACAGTCGTGTAACTGTACATAGATTGTACATACTATATCCAGTGTTACAGTGGTCTTCACCTGGCAGGGGAAAAACAAATAAAATCAGTCAAGCACTGCAAACTGTAATGGAGACCTCTTTAGTGTCAGACAGGTAGACATATACTTACACAAGCTAAGATTTAAATCTCTGAACAGTTTTACATATTTGAGTTCTCTGTGATGATTAGAATGAGGGCCTCACTAGAAATAAGAAAGCTTGACTGAAAAGAACCTTTATTAACATCTACAGCACCGGTATACAGCACATTAAGTTATGCTTCAACTTCTGGGGGCAGTTTAATTATACGGTCATTGTTGTAAATGGAGAACAGAATAATGAGCTAATGATGAATCTATAATTGAAAATGTACACCTATTAAGCTGGGTTTAAGTATTACAGGTCCCACCTATGCACTAGTGATTCAACACTGAAATGCAGAGAATCTACCATGATTTCCAGCACTGCTTGTATTCTAATTAGTGTAAAAGCATGATCAAGATCGAATTAGCTATCAATACTTGAGCTCTCTATAAAAGTACAGTGCTACCAACAGACCACCCACAGACCTAATTTGCTCTTCCAGGTGGAAAGTCTCCAACTTCAGCCTCATATGTGCAGTTCCCAACTCAAGAGCAGGACAACCACTTCACTAAGACGAGGTCTTTTCGCCTCAAGTATTTCTCATTGCATGAACAACCTGGGCTTCCTCACGTTTCAATTACTTTCCCAAAGCCACTTTTATTGACATTGCATCTGATCATCTAAAGACACATTATGAATTTTTCCCCCACGTTTAAAAATAGAAAGGGAAACGAATTGTAGTACCTCCTGGGGAAAATGACAACATGTGAGAAAAGGTCATTTGAGCAGTAATGCATTTATGAAATGAGACTGCACAGTGCACCTCAGCATTAGCGATATGACTAACCCATCAGCTGCCTGATGGAGACTGAGGCGAGTGGCACACCTGTACTTGATATCGAAGAGGGTCGAGTCCTCCTCATCTTCGTTCTCCTCATTTAAAGGCGCCATCTCGATACGCTCCGCCGGCGTGGTGATGATGTCGTACCGCCGCGTTTTCCCCACCTTCCTCCCAGACCTTCAGACAAAAGGAAGCATCCACACAATTTCACTTCAATACAGGGCTGTCAACTTTGGTCAGCTGGCTGTCCTGAGATTTTTGATTCCAGACAAGTGCGCACATGCATTTACACCTATGTGACAGTTTTATTACCTTGTAGATAGTCTGTAGGGTTTGCAAACTACCCCAACACTTTTGATGCAGCTAATTTTAGGTTTATAATGTAATAACATTAATTTGCCATAAGAATATTTAGAACCCATTATTTAAAACCAGTAAACCCTCCATTTTGAGAAATTGTTCCGATGCTCCCTACCCCACTGAAATCCCCCCCCCCTTTTAAAACGATGAAGAGCATCCAATACCTTCCAGAATTTGTCTTACCAAAAATACTCAACTATTATACATATCGCGTCCATTTTTAGTTACTAAATAAAACAAAACTAAAATATCACTAAATTGCATTATTGATATTAAATAGGAAAATACCAGACACGTTGTCACTGCGCCTCTCACCTGGAAAATGATGGAGATGAGCATGGACATTATACACAGGGATGCACATAAAATTATCATGCAACTTAACCTTTATGTGGCTAATTTGTAATTCTTTCGCCGTATAAAGGTTAAAATAAGCGATAATTTCTTGTCTTAGCACGAATGCACACAAAATAAATATGCCGCGCGTATCACTTACACAGCCGATGCGTACTTGCGTACCAGTTATGTGCATCCCCGATTAAATAAGTGAAAATAAAGATCCGGCCGTGCTGTTACCTGTAAACCTTGACGACCAGGCAGGTGATCAGGAAGACGGCAGAGACGCAGATGATGACGCCGAAAGCCCTAAGGGTGGCCAGGTCGCCCAGGAAGGGGGGGATGTGCGCTCCGACGGTCGGCGCACCGCCCGTGCCGTTCCGCGGCCGCTGCGGCTCCGGGATGCTCGCCGTTCGGTTCGGCCGTAAGCTTTCGGCCGGCGTGGTGCGCAGCTCCCCATGCGCAGCCACAGTCAACGCAAAAGCAAACGCAAAAGCAAACGCCAAGCAGATGCGAAGCGGGAGCGGCATTTTGGATGTCCTTACGGTCGATTCGCTTTGCGTAGGTTATAACCTATATGGCGACCATTTTGCTAAATTCGCAATATGATTAGGATTTAAATGGTAACTGACGAGCCACCGTACCGCACAAGCAAGCAGCTGTTAAATCACCGTCGTTGGGTCACTAAAGTCATTTCCCATGCCCCTGAAAAGGTGACTCAGTCTAAGGCCACTTTAAATAATAACAAGTCCCATTACAGCACTGAAGTCCGCTCCGGGTTTTCGCCAACTCACTCCGCGATCCTCCCCGACGCGATCTCCCCTCCCCAGTGGGTTTATTTGGATGGATGGTTAATAATAGGCCGCGCTAATCCAGCTAAACCCGGACCTGCCGCGCCGGGTCCGGATGTGCTGCGGATAAACGTGGATTAAAAAAGGACGAAGCCGCCGATGCTGCGTTACTGGGGAAGAAACAGATGAAACAGCTCCGGGCTGCGTGTTAACGCGTTATCTCCCATATATATGTAAGGATATAAGCCAATATAGGACATGTCGTCATGTTTATTGTAATGCTTCAGGTTTAGGTTGTTGAAGGAGAATTTATGTCTTAAAACCGAGCAGTACTCATATGGAGCAGAACTAAAACGGTACGTCGTGCGTCTTATGATGGTCTTATCATTCTGATCCGCAGATTACGGTACAGTTAAATCCATCTAATTAATTTATGGTGAATAAACGTAACCGGTAAACCAGTGCAAACCGGGTGCTATTTAGAGTAATTTTTTAAAAGCATTTGTGGAGAGATTCCATAATGAACACCAAAAGCATGTTCACTTCTAAGTTTTGCAAATCACGATCACACATACGCTTCCCTTTATGTACGGTACAACTTCTGTTTTGTTCTGTACAAGACAAAAGTAGCAATGTTCAATTTCAATGGAGTGATAATTATGAATTACGGCCACTAGATGGCGTATTGTCCTCACCATATATTTTTTGAGTCATATTAACGATGGGCTTGTTAACATTTACATACAAACTGTATGATATAAAGAAACAGACCATTTCACAACTGTGTGACAATCTTTACTCCTTCTAGTTAAACCTTTCCACAATAAGACGTAAAAACAAAACCAGACTGTACAGAGTGATTATATATTTCTATCACAAATGGTTATTTTCCCCAAAAAATTGCTTTTTTATGTTAAACATTTAAAGCATTAAACAGCCATTAGAATTTCAGATGACACTGATTACCTAAACAGCACTGTCTTAGTGTATGTGACATTTTTTAATCTACAAATTTCATAAACATGTCAGTTCCCACGTGTCATACATAAATGAATACTCAATGCTGAAATACACAAGCTTGCAGGAAAAATCCACAAACATGAATGCGAGTCCAGTGTGTGCAAACTATGTTATACGGCAATCAACATTTTTTCCCCCCCATAAACAGCTAAAGAACGCCGACCGGTTGACCTATTAAATCAACACTGAATTTTCACAGCTTACAGTATAAATTTCACTCTCTTTACTGATCACTCTTTAATATTTGATATGCGACAATATAGCTGGAGGGTTTACGATTTGAAGACAACTGGCATATCATATTATATCACACACTGTCAGCATAAAATACAGCTTCACAATAAATAATGTACAGTATTATCGGGTGTCACAATACAAACATGTTCTGATCTGGTTCTTGTTAGTCCTCTTTTCCTAGTGAAACATAAAGTGCGTTTGTAGTGTAAGAGTGAGTCGCAGCACACGGTTTTTCCATTCTGTTTTCACTGTTCGGTGAGAAGCAAACGTCCGCATGTGGCCTCATCTGCCCTTTTATTCCCAGGTAGGGAGGTTGTTCCGGCCTCCTGACCCATCACGCCACAGTTAGCCAAAGTATGGCTGACAGGAACACATCACTATTATAGTGCACTACCCAGGATCTAGGGACAGTCTTTCTGGCAGCATGCAAGTCTGCAACATTCATATTTTCACAAATCGTACTTAAATAAAAAATAATACTTACCTCCTCACCCCTCATACAAAACCCCAAAAGAACAGCCTAACAATAATTCATTGTTCTTGGCCTTTCGTACAACCACACATTTTATACGCTTATTTGCGGACAGTGCATTATCGCAGCAAAGCCGCTTTGAGGTGAGTCGTGTTGGACTAACTTTCCCAAACCAGGCCAGCAAACCTGCGCCGTGCTCTCGCTGCTCGTAATCAGTTCACGAGATGCTGTCTGACAGTTTGTATTTTTTTTTTGATGCTGTAAGTTATGTAAAGTGGTTCTCGCGTACAAGTGCTTGTTGTTCTTCAGGAATCCGCTCGCGAGCTGAGGACGAGTTGCCTTGGCAGCTTCGACAGGGAGAGAGATATTAGCCAGGAAAAAAAAAATAAAAAAATCCAGGATCAGCAGCATAGCTCAAATGACCTTCAGTGCATTTCTGTTAGTAGAAGCTGCTGAGATCAGCCTTGTGTGTACCTGTACAACACGAGCTGAGACAGTCTTGGAGAAGACTGACATCATGACACATAAACAAGAGCCAACATCTTTTAACACCTTATCGGCACCTCTGCTAGTCTCCCCCCCCCCCCATCCCCATGGGGCAGAATGGTGTTCAAGGAATTAGTAACAATGTGTCGAAGGTGCGGCTCTCCAGAGTGTGAAATTAACTACCACCATTAAAATCAGAGAATTTCCATCTCTCTCATTTCATGGTCCCTTCAGGTTACCTGCACCATCAGAACGTCCATCTAGGCCAAACCCAAAGGCACCAGTCCACCTCCCTCAAGCCCTGGCTTAGTTGTCTGGAAACAGATCTTCTCTTGAGAAGCTTTTACCCCAGTAATCCATTGGTCCACAGAGACACACGATCCCCAGCCAGTCCAACAGCACGGCCAGATCCGCAGATTCACAGTCACGTTCTGCTCTTCACATTTAACGGTCTGGCCATACTGGTATCTTCAGCTCAGGGTTAGAGAGCAGCCTCAGCCCAGCATTGAGCCAGGGATCTATATTACTGCTGGGAGCCGCACTCAGCACTTTGTCCGGACTGAACCCCGTCTCTGAACAGCCACATCCCCAGATTTTTAAAACATTCATCTACAGGAAACTGGCCACAAGTAAGACAGACATTGACGGTAATACAGTGTTGGAGCAGAGGGCATATGGGTGTACTTACACTCAGAAGACATTAGCAAAGGAACTTTTTCATCAAGGAATTAAATACACCTCTTATTTTAGGCCCAGGACTTCTTGGTCTAAAACGACACTGTTGTTCATGACTCATAGTAATTAGATATAAATAGTCCTGTAAAATAAACCACTTCTGACTTGACATATTACATACTTGTATACCCTGGTTGTTTCTGTAATGTGAACAGAGAATTCACTGTCCCATTTAATAAATAATAATGATAACATTATTAAGTCACAGCACCCACAAAATATTAATGAGCCAGAAAAGCTGAATGCTGCAAATTTTTGAAACAGTTTTTCTGGAGGATCTCCCTGATTCCAACTACTTGCTAGAAACATCCTGTCTACAGGCATATTGGTGTTTTTCTTCTCTGAATGGGATGCCAGCGCAGGACATGTCTGCGGCATCTCCTCATTCCTCTGGAGACCCACACCAGGGTGGTGGTTCTTTAGGAAAAAATGGTAATGCAACACAGACTACTAGTAGATGAAGTTCTCCAGAACTTCAGGTAGAGGTCATGTGTGGCTCTGAAATGACAATGCACTGATAGATGATCTGATAAGCTGGTCTGTAGGGCTGTACTTGAAGACTCCAGAAATGACTGAATGACACTCTACCAGCAGAGGTATGATCAGGTGAGAGGGACCTTCTGTAGGTTCGGCCCACTGGCGGCAGAATGAAGGGCGATGGAGGTGAGTGACTATGGATATGTGAGTCAGCCCTGGATACACAAGACAAACAACAGGAGGCTGGCAGAGGACAGTGAATAGCCAGTGTGCGTTCCTGGTGCAGAGCTGCCCGTTTTCCACGCGGCTTCAAAGATGTGATGTTTGCTCTTGTCCGAATGGAGCACTTTCGCATCCTCAAGAGCGTAATAAGCCGCCATAGTGAAACTGACATCTCCAGATGTGAGGAGGTCAAAGACGCAGGACTGGAAGTAGAGATCTTGAACAGGGAGGTGCTCCTTGCACGTGGCTGTGGCTGACATGTAGGTGAAGCCCGTTTTGCTGGTGGGGGCGTGGCCATTGTCAGCCTGGACCGCGGCGGCGCCGAAGCCGATGCGCTGGCTGAGTGGGCAGCCGTCCCGGCAGAGGTACAGGTCCTGCTCGTCCCTCTCCTCCAGCGAGTTCACCACCTCCTCTGGCATCCGCACGGCAAACGTCAAGTAGCGGCCTACCTGTCGGACCACAATGGTGGTGCCGATGTACCGCGCCTGGATCTCCACGTGTTGACCCGGAACTTTCTCCAGAATGGCCAATGCGCTGGCCCCATGCTGGTCACCTCCGTTCTTGGAGCCGTCTGCAAATGCCGCTGGAAGCTCATCCGTCTCAGCATGGTACATCTTCTGGTCTACACATTCCTGGAAGTTCTTGAATATGATGGTTAGCTGTTTGAAGGGAGAAGTGTAACTATTAGTATACATGTTTGTTTTAATTATTTAAATGCATTTGTTTGAAATAAAACATCTTTCTTTAAAGACCTCAACAGGCATGTCTTGCCTTGGTCCCCACAGACATTTAAAATCTTTCTTTGTTCTCTCTATTCGTTCATGTCTCTACCATAATTGCAGGCATCGCTACTCAAAATCTAATGGGCAGTGACAGGAGAAATGGAGCAATAGCAGACTAGGCAACCAGGACCAGAATCTGTGACTGGCATCGATGGACTGATCATGTGCTCAGTTCCTATAAAACCTGGAGCTGGCAGTTTGCCCCATCAGACCCTCCTAATGAAAGGTTTTGTCCCCTGCAGTGCCCACAATAATGGTTACAGACAGAGAGTAGTGCAGAGAGCCCAGCTCCTCGTTCAATGAAAGACTGACCACAGACCTCTTCTGGAGGTCCCTGAAACATGGAAGTTCATGATTTATCTTTATAAATGTACATTAGGAGTGAAAACAGTCAGCGAGTGCGGTTGGGTGATTTCAGTGAGTGGGATTCGGTCATTTCAGTGAGTGGGATTCGGTCATTTCAGTGAGTGGGATTCGGTCATTTCAGTGAGTGGGATTNATTTCAGTGAGTGGGATTCGGTCATTTCAGTGAGTGGGATTCGGTCATTTCAGTGAGTGGGATTCGGTCATTTCAGTGAGTGGGATTAGGTGACTTCAGTATGCAGCATGACAGCAATACCTCCTCACCTTACTGGTGGCTGTAGCAACAGCCCCAGGCAGCACAGGTGTGTTGGTCACCTGGACGGAGAGGTACTTGTTGTGGATGAGAGGCCACGCCCCCTCCACCCTGCAGGTGTGGAAGTCATCGCTGAAGGTGCGTAGGTGCGGGTCCCCGAAGAAGCCGCAGTGCGTGTAGTTAGGTGGCACACCGTGAAGCAGGAGGCTACGCTCGTAGTGGCACACCTCTGGGCCGTCGGAGCGCTCCTGGCTGTCAGGGGATGGAAGAGGGGGCGGGGCAGGGGCACGGGAAGGGGGCGAGGCCGGGGTGCGGGCACGGGAAGGTGGCGAGGCTGCCTCTCGGGAGCAGTTGTGCTGTCCCATCAGGTCCTCGACACCGTGCTGCGCAGAGTGGTAAGTCAGGTCACCGCGGCAGGCACGTGCCGTGCGCCGCACACATGCATCATACGCCCTCAGCGCCGCGCAGAACTCCCCGGGCCCTGAGCTGGCGGCTGAGGCCCAGAACTCCGAGTTGCACCTCAGGATCTTACACTGCAGGCTCACTGTGGAGATAAACATACTGTACGTGAAGGGAGGAAACTACAGATCTGCTCAAGGATGAGGTCTGCAGAGGGAAACGGGAAGTGAGAGAGAGGAGGAACAGCAATAACCCAACAAGAAAAGTAATAATGAGTGTATGTATGTGTGATTATGTATACTGTCAGAAACATGCAGGGTACAGTCCTGGTACAGTTTTGTTCCCCAAGGTGCAAACAGCATTAATGTACCCCCAATGGTACAAAAATGTTCCTCGCAGTCCATTTATCTACAGTTAGGGAGCGATAGGCAGACCCTTAAGGATACAGCCTCAGTGACAAGTAATTGCATCCTCAAAGGTAGAAATTGGTACTTTTTTTTTTGGTATGTACTACTATATCCATCTGCCTTCATTTTAAGAATAGAGGCAGTATCATTTCTTATTTAAGGCACCAAGACAGCAATAAATTAGTCCAGTATAAAAAGATTAAGTCAAGTACAGAGTTTCATTGTACATATGACAATAAAGACTTATTTTGAGGCAGGCACATGGCAGGCAGACCCTGACAGTCTCCTTAAAGACCTACATTCCCATTCCCTTTTACTTTCCTAATCAGTATAACCAGAGACATTCTAGCAATGCTTTCCTATGCTGTTAACCAAAGTGGACAGAAGATATTAATCTGGCCACTACAGTTTGTAGCCAACAGCGGAGTCAATTCTGTTAAAAACCCAATTAACAGCAGAAATTCCCCAGCGCGCTGCTAAAATGCATTTAAATCAATAACATTTTCTGCTGATACGAAGAACCCCATCTTTTTAACACATTATCATCTGTAATAAATCCTCACCGTATTACCCACAATGCTGTGCAGTATCTTGCTCCATTAATTTGGGGAGAAGCCCCCTGGCAGGCTGGATTGCACTGTTTAAGCCAACAGCCGAAATCTCCATCTGCAACTCAAGGCTGACTGAAGGTGTAATAAGATCCTGACTTTAAATAACGGAGCAATTCATCACCTCTGTTGTACCATTGGGTGTTTTCGCTTCGTATCCACACAAATCCTCCGAACTCAGTTTTTAGCTCTAACTTGATCTGAAAGGAGCTAACGCATGTTGCGAACCCATTATCAGCATCTCTCCACCGCAATTTCTTCAGAGGTTTAGAAAAGCGCGGTATAAATCTGTTGTAATAATAATAATAATAATAATAATAATAATAAATAATAATAATAATAGAAGATTAAAACAATCTGACCTTTACACTTGCTGGTACCACTAACAGTACAAACAGAAAATCATTCATAAATGTAATCTTTGTTACAGCAGGATGGTCTGCTGCAATCTGCCAAGGTTTCGTAAACAAGCTGCCTTCAGTACAATGTTACAGCTGGCTTCACCTCTACAGGTTAAAGATAAAAAATCGATACAACGTTATTTTAGTTAATGTTCACAATTACAACTCTCCTGGATGACATCTTCAGTTTACGTGCATTAAAAGTATTATTTTTATATTAAGCCGCTGTTAAACACAAACCTGTTAAACGTAAATAATTTTCCACAGAAATCTCCTCCAGTCCTCCCATCCCTGACTAAGTAAACGCAGAGAGATAATGCAGATTCGCGGAGAAATCAGCAGACACTTAAAACTGGTATATATTACACTTGAATTTTCCTTTGAAGAAATCCATTAATCATTAAGGGAATTAAAACCTTTACCTTACCTGAAGGGCAGATGTAAATGAGCAGTACGGCGAACTGGGAGACTGCCCGCAGTGAAGGTCTTGCTCCTTTCCCCATAACCATCCATCCAGCTCGGGGTGGCCCTCGTTTCCTCTCTCTGATTAGATCAACGAAAACGACGGGCAATCCGTTGCGTTATTTCCACTGCAAAAATCACGGAGGGTTTAAAGCACCTGCATGAGTGCATTTTTTTCAGTAGCAGCACCTAACTTGATCTTAGTGTATGAAGCTCTCCTTCTCAGATCAGGGTGAGGGAGTTCAACTTTCGGGGAAAAAAAAATTGCGAAACGTCCCTTACCGGGGCTGTTTGGGAGGCACAGCCCACAATCCTCCGGTGGGAATCCCAGTCTTTACCCTCCACCGCACCCCACCCGGCCAGGTTTCACGTTTCATCCGACTTGGAAGAGTGCATTTTCAATATTACACACGAGGTCGGTTATATACGTTTTTTAAACCGTAAATTCTGTATGTTTTGACTGTTTCATCTGAGGGGCACTTGCTTAAAAGATTGCCTACAGAGTCTTCACAGCACTTTCTTTTACAAGTGCAAACGTCCACGTTTCATACTTTTATAGACAGAGACATCTCGCCACGGCTCACTTTGCCAAGATTTCAGCCAACTTATTATACAGACCTTCTGTTATACCGGTTCATATGGATTGCCCAGGGGCGGTAACTAAATAAGTAACAGGTTATTAAAATGCACCTTTCCCCATCTCAAATTACACAGGACATACCTTCACTATTAACTTTACTATTTACTATTATACTTTTATGAAGCATGTCTTCATATGGCAGAAATATTTTAAATAGTTTTAAGCCAGAGAAATCACGTCTTATACTCTGCATAGATATTTGCTTGAATATTTCACCAGTTTACTGCATGGTTGCAGTTCAAAATCAATTATATGCTATAACTAATATATATCCATATCTCTGGCAACAAACCTTGTTTTTAAGACTACGGGTTTTGCATTCTTTATACCAACGCAGTTTTTTTCACACCTGAAAGTACCAAAACCCTAGCATAAAACGATATGACAGCTGCAAGGTCCATGAACTTGAGTCCTGGTACCAGGTACCATTCAGGGCCTTCACTTCACTTGATGCACCGGAGCACATGTAGCATGCGAAAAAAATTTCATAACAGCAATAGCATATATGTAGTATAATCGAATGCCCTTCCGTTTAATTTCTCTTATTTCACTGGTACCGCAAGCCGACACGGTAAGACACCCTCATATTAAACGCCGAGTAATATAATAATTATAGTAACTCTCCAACAGGCGGCGCTTTTATGTCTACTGTTATGAATATACGTATCTGGAAATCACGACAAACGCACGTGATAGACATACAGGTTACTCCGCACGTTGGGTAATTCTGAAGGGTAGATTATAACTCCCAGGAATTAACGCATAATTACAGAAACAGGGACTTGCTTTCTAGGCTGCACGTGAACTGCGAAATTCGCATTATTAATGCATATATTTCACTGGCACGGTTAATTACCTCCACCACTTTTGCAATTAGCAAAACTGAAAATAAGCTCAGAGTTCTAATGTGAAATAGCCTAAATGAAGATTCGTCATAAGTAGCCGAAGTGAGAATATAGTCACTCGACAGTGTTGAATAAAACTCCATTCCAATTTTCCATATTAAAATTTGCAAAAGCGCAATCAAAGCAATTCATTTAATCTTTAATAACGTCTTCTGTTTATCTGCATGCTCAGTTGGATGTGTTCATCTGCATTCACTCAATCTAATACGCCATGCAACAGTAATTTTATAGGCTAACTAATTATCATT